AGGTTGTCACGGCAACCGTAGTTCTATCGTTGATAGCGACTAGCCCACTAGCCAATCACGCACTCACACTGCGTTGTATATTACGATACGAATAGCTGTAGAAAGACAGCCCGATAGTGGTAGTTAGGCTTTCGTATCTCCTTAAAATTACGATCGATAATCATTGCGTCTTGACTGAGCCGAGGGGTTCGTTCTTATCAAACCTCGGATGCATGAACAACGTAGAATTGTGATAACATTGTTTCCAATTACGACACAAATTAAGTGTTATTTTAGTTTTGACTTAGTAATAAAAGCTATAGGCCTAAATACTATAGCCTAAAACTAAATGTATACTGTAATAACATAAGCCCTCAGAAAAGTGTGGTCTTTAGACAATATCAAATTGTGATTAAAACTAGACAAATTTTACATAGCAGTACAGTAGAGTCCTGCAAACTCGGCGTAATGTGGACTGGAAGGGTGCCGAGTTTGTGAAATGCCGGGTTATCGGGAACTAGGGTTAAAAATAAGAACAATACAATTTTTATTCCTTTTAGCCGCCTTATTTATTTATATTTATATTACAAGTCAGTATTAAGTCATCAGATATTGTACAACAAATCCTTGGTACGAGTTGCGAATTATTTGACTTGAGCCCATGTTTAACTCGGACTCAAAAAATCACTAATTTTATGAGCCAGGTGATGGCCGAGTTATCCAGACTGCCGGGTTATCGAGTGCCGAGTTTGCGGGACTCTACTGTATACGGAAATATGTACTGTAGTTAGATTGTATAACATTTTCAGAATATTTAACGTATTTACTGTTTGGTATTCGATTAATGAAATATTACATTCGAATAACGAAATATTACATTCGAATAACGTATTTTTTAATGTACCGTACGTGTACTATGAAATCAACTTCAGTATCCAATAGTCAATAGTAATATTAATAAAAAAATAGCATAATTTTTGTTTTATAATATACTTTTAATATATTTATTTTAAATTACAAACAAATTTGCTTTAAAAAATTGGGTTTTCTTTTCCGAGTTTGTATGGCTCTTCTATCCGACCGACTCTCATGATTGAGGACTCAAATTGAAGTTATGCACTCTCAGACATCACATCAAGCATCGGCATATATGCGATTTACTGTATTACTCGATCAAAAAACACATACATTTGATTTATTTTCCAATTCTTACTTCAATAGTTCATTTCACCAGTTATAATGATAAAATCCTATATATTATGGTCTAAGAACCTCCAGTGAAATACCGGCTATCATTTGAGCTATTAGTTATTCAAATCGGACGAGTTTCAAGTAAACAATTAACATATTTTTTTATAAGGGTTTTCTACAATTGAAAATCAATACCTCCAGTATTGTTTTAATCAGGACTTATACGGCCATTCACAAATTAGACAAAGCCCAAAGCTCGTACCGCTAGTTCATTGAAATACAGAACAGGTAGACAGACAGATAGACAGACGGGCGTTCCAAGTAGACTGCGCTGTACGAGCACGATATTCCGCAATCTTTTGGTGAGCTGTACGAACACGCGCTGTACGACCACGTAATCGGGACGAGAGGGTGAGTTGAGTTCCTAATCCTAAAAGGTTCCAAATCCGCTGGGTATCATGACCAAACGGACGGACTATCTCAACAAACCTTTATTCACCTTTTCATATTTGACGATGACAAGCTCCAATATTTCAATCAGGGAAGCCTTATTATCATCATTATTTTTATCATGAAGAACAAAAACAATAAACTGTAAACAAATTATGTACTGAGATATCTAAATAAAATTTGATTCTGAGGTCATTTAAACAATACAATAATTTGTTTTACATTGGAGCTTTTTAGTGACTTATGTCCCTACAAGCTACTAGTGTTATTTAATACTGTACTGTAATTATTTTTTGATATTTGGGTATCGGAATAATTTGCTTAAGTTACAATGGTATGAGTAAAACTATTTATCTAATAAACAACTCATGTTTACATGTTATGTTAATGTGTAGTACATTCCAAAAATGCATAAACATTCATAGGCCCACGTGAGTACCGGTACTAATAATTACGGTTATGAGGTATAATAGAACCAAGATACTTGTTCTTTAATTTTACTACTGTTATTCGTCTAGGAAACAAACGAGCACAGCTTGGAAACAACGTTCTCGTGAGGTGTTGAATAGCTACTGTTCCCATTCCATTCGGACTGCCGACTGCCGTTAAGTGATATGATATCTGAAATACAATGTCATCTTGGACAGAGGTGGAGGTGGGGGTTAAAGGGGAGCCTCTGCTTCCAGTTGAAGGATGTATCAGAGGGTGTATAGTGTATACATTATATGTGAGAGAAACGGACGCGGACATCGGTTCCCGAGAAGAATGTGATTTTATGTCACACTAGCTGTACCCGCGGGCTTTGCCCCGTTTAACTTCTTAATTTTCAAGATGATCTCGTTCGCATGGCTCAATCACGTCCTGGTTGAAGTTCGTTCTCTACGCTCACTCACCTTTATGTTGGAGCTCGTTCGCTGCGCTCACTTGCCTTCAGGTTAGCTCGTTCGCTACGCTAACTCGTCTCCAGGTTGAAGTTCGTTCGCTACGCTCACTCACCTTTTGGTTGCAAATTAGCTGTTGTCATAAATTAAAATAAATAATAGTGCTGCACCCTGTTAGTAATCCTTGTAACTTTAATGCTATTGAACATCATAGAACAGAACCAACTTGTTTAATTGAAACAGCTGTTAAGATTCATTTATTCCTTTTAAATATGAAAAATCATAAGGCTAACATGGGAAACTCCAGAGCCACTGGGGCGGAGCCCGAGAGTCCGATCAGAATAAAAACAACTTAGTTTTCCTATTTAATGCCTGAAGAATCAATGTACCAAATTTCAGCCTCCTAGGTAAATGGAAAGTGGGAGAATTAGTGATGAGTGAGTGTGTCAGTGAGTCAGTGAGGGCTTTGCCTTTTATAAGTATAGATGCCACACTGTGTACAAGTAAAAACTATCGCTATTAACCCAGCAACTATGCCAAAAACAAAAATTAAAGTACGGTATCCAATAGTCAATGATATAATATAAATAAGGATTTTTTTTATATTTCCATCGTACTTGTAATAACGAGCTAGCAAAAAAAAAGACGTGAGAGTTATTAAAACTATCACTAAGAATATTACAACTCTAAAAGTTGTTGCGTTATTGCCTGCTTGTGTAGCCTTCATCTCTGGCGACGCAATGCCCGCCCGCATCTTAGACCTTCAGGGAATTAGACCTTCAGGGACTCGAATCTTAGACCTTCCGGGACTCGAATCTTAGACCTTCCGGCACTCGAATCTTAGACCTTCAGGGACTCGAATCTTAGACCTTCAGGGAATTAGACCTTCAGGGACTCGAATCTTAGACCTTCAGGGAATTAGACCTTCAGCAACTCTCATTTTATAATAATTTATTTACAAAATATACATTGTGTGCCCAAGGTCTAATCCCGCAAGGTCTAAAACAGTATCAGTGGATGAGTTTTTTGCATTGACTGTACTCTTAGACCTTCCGGGACTTAGACCTTCGACATATTACCAGATTAGACCCTCAGCAACAAGTACAAACTGCAAAATGTGTGTCGAAGGGCTAATTAGACCTTCCGGGACTTAGACCTTCAGCAACACTCCCGTTTAGACAGGAGGCAACTCAGACAGATCACAGGAATGGTCACTGGCCATGGCTTCCTGAAATTGCACCTGCATCGCTTGAGGATCCACAATGGAGACACTGCGTGTAGAAAATGTGGGCAGTCAGAGGAGACTGCAGATCACCTACTCTACGACTGTACAGCTCTGAACGAGGTAAGGGACAGTACTCTTGGAGCAATGACAAGGGGCAGACACCTTCCTCAGGAGGAGCTCATAGATAGGATGCTGAAGTTCATTAAGCAACTCGGGTTTGACCGACTCTGATGCACCATGTGGGGAGCGCAAAATCAATCAATCATTCAATGATGTCTACACGGCCGCGAGATATGTTCATGATTTTGCCACGATCGTGCAAGACAACTATGATGTTTGCCTGATCGTAGGAGTAGATGATGATGTCTTTATGGCCGCAGGAGATGTTTATGAATTTGCCGCTATTGCGGAAGACAACAATGACGTTTCCGTGACCACAGGAGACGATGATGATGTCTACACGGCCGCGGAAGATGTTAATGATTTTGCCGCGATGGTGCAAGTCGACGATGATGTTTCCATGACCATGGAAGTCAATCATCATGTCTGCACAGCCACGGGATTTCTTAATGATATTACCGCAACCGCGTAAGATGACGACGATGTTCTGTGACCGTGGGAGAAGATGATGATGTCTACACGGCCGCCGGAGATGTTCATGGTTTTGCCGCCATTGCTGAAGATGACAAAGATGTTTCTGTGACCACGGGCATCTATGATGATGTTCACATGGCCACGGGAGATGCTTATGATTTTGCCGCTATTGCACAAAACGAAGATGACATTTCCGAGACCGTGGGAGTGTAAAAAAAACTCAACTTGGCTCATCCTGACACAAGCTTAGCCCAAAAATTAATTTAGGCACGGACCCAGCCTTCGAGACAACTACTGGCCTAAGCTGACCTGAAAATATTAGGGATCTGCAAACCCCTTATCACACTTTTTAATAAAACCATTGACTTTTGAATAGTGAAGTAGACATCCTATTTAAATGAAAAAGCTGTAGTCATTTGTTATTCAAATTGAACATCGTTGAACGAGCTACTCACAGGGTACACTACTGCCTCAATTCTATTTTCTATCTTGTTTTGATACTTTTGATGATTTAATTGAACCGAAGATGCGTTAGTTTAAAATCAATTTGTTGCTTTTTACAGTTTAAGTTGGTTAAAGAGTAGGCATTTAAAACAATGACAGGGGCTTGGTTACTACAATCATCTTCAATCAGTTCTATCAATTAACAGTAAAATATGTAGGCAAACATAAAAAAATACCTTAAGGAATAACTTTCTTTCTTCATCATTGAAGTCACGATGCAATATGTCCCATAGCCACAGTATCACTCTGTGAGAGTCATGGAAGCCACCGTAGTACTGTGTGTGACGTCTCAGGTCCACCAGGTCCAGTGGAACATTGTCTCCAGAGATCAACCTCTGTAACTGTACCACACACATCACATTTACAAGCCAACAGCACCAAGTCAGAAAATTAAGCTCAAGCCGAGCTTTAACCATTAAAATATTATTACTACCACAGAATATATATCTGCAAAGATCGCATGGTACAAAATTCACACTTTCACCGCAATCACACCAACAATGATGATGTCCCCCCATGACTTTTTTGCAGTCGTGGAAGGCAACTACATTGTCTATTGGACCACAGAAGATATTCAGGATTTTTCTGTCATTGCAGAAGACGATGATGATGTCTACAAGGCTGCGGGATATATATGATTTTGGCCTGATTTTTGATAATTGTGAAATGCTTACTAGGTAGCATGTAAGGCTATTAATTAACAGTCCTGTCTAAGGAACATGTCGGCATTAGTCAGTAACAAGACTACAAGATCCCGACACTCATCCTACACTCATCTCCATTCATAATTGGCTTAAAATACCTAATTTCGTATGGTCGCCATTTCAATTAAAAGTATTAAAGTATGTCTTTCACACTTTTTATTCTAATGCATTATTAAGTTCCTTCAAATAAAAAAAATCATCAAGTAATTTTTTATTTATTTTTGGAATAGTTATTTTTTATTTAAATAGGCCATATGTATTTGTTTTTTTTTTTCAAGTCATTGGCTGTATAAATGACAGAAAACATTGCCTTTTGTAGAAAATAACATGAGCTGAAATTAATTTTAAACTTAGTTTCTTGTTACATCAAATTCGTTATTTAAATAGCTCAAACTGCAGATCTCAAGCTCGGCTTGATCTAAAATCTCAAGCTCGCACACCTCTAATTTAGATCATCGTGTTTCTAAATGCCCATTATGCATGGTTCTGCAATATATCATGGGTTCAAGCTTATATTTGGCAAGATCAAAATACATTTTTTTAAGTTGTAAATTCTGGATAGCAGGACAAGTATTTGATGAGATTGTTTACCTCGGGCGTAGAGAACATGGATAGCCATTCCATGTTAATGATGGAGCGGAAGCCTCTGATAAAGGCAGCCGTCTGTTTCTGAATCTGGGTGTGCATTCGAAAGTGGGCCATCAGGTGGATGTAGTTGATCCTGAGACAAACATCACATTGCATAACAGTTACAGACAAAACTGAAACTTCTAATTTGTGCAGGTGAATACAGTGCTAGACAAGAAGGGACAGGTCTTTGCCTCATCTTTACATTACTATACTTTCTCTCATGTAATGTTGATAAATTAATAATGTATTGAGTTTTTATTCAATCAGATCATAATAACAGCAACTTTATAAAAAAACATCCAATATAAAAAACAAAAATAGCAAAAGAAGTTGTTAGGTTAAATTTCAGAATACTGTAATAAATTGGATCACACGCTTTAACCAAACTTAAACAACATAGCACTAAAATTACAATACACAAGCCTGTGTATATTGTTTTTGTACACAGTTGTGAGAAAGTAAAACAGACAACTCACTTGTTCTGACTGGTGACAGGAACTGCTCTGCCCCCAGGAATCAGCTCATGGGTGACAAGCTTGCCAAGGACGTCCTCATCAACTGAGAATGTGAGATCAAGCTGTGACACCTGCAAAAGTAGACAGAGGTAAAGACTTGCATCTACCATACACTTGCACTGACTAGCTACAGGAACTGCTCTGCCCCCAGGAATCAGCTCATGGGTGACAAGCTTGCCAAGGACGTCCTCATCAACTGAGAATGTGAGATCAAGCTGTGACACCTGCAAAGTAGACAGAGGTAAAGACTTGCATCTACCATACACTTGCACTGACTAGCTACAGGAACTGCTCTGCCCCCAGGAATCAGCTCATGGGTGACAAGCTTGCCAAGGACGTCCTCATCAACTGAGAATGTGAGATCAAGCTGTGACACCTGCAAAGTAGACAGAGGTAAAGACTTGCATCTACCATACACTTGCACTGACTAGTGACATGAACTGCTCGGCCCCCAGGAATCAGCTCATGGGTGACCAGCTTGCCAAGGACGTCCTCATCAACTGAGAATGTGAGATCAAGCTGTGACACCTGCAAAGTAGACAGAGGTAAAGACTTGCATCTACCATACACTTGCACTGACTAGTGACATGAACTGCTCTGCCCCCAGGAATCAGCTCATGGGTGACCAGCTTGCCAAGGACGTCCTCATCAACTGAGAATGTGAGATCAAGCTGTGACACCTGCAAAGTAGACAGAGGTAAAGACTTGCATCTACCATACACTTGTACTGACTAGCTACAGGAACTGCTCGGCCCCCAGGAATCAGCTCATGGGTGACAAGCTTGCCAAGGACGTCCTCATCAACTGAGAATGTGAGATCAAGCTGTGACACCTGCAAAGTAGACAGAGGTAAAGACTTGCATCTACCATACACTTGTACTGACTAGCTACAGGAACTGCTCGGCCCCCAGGAATCAGCTCATGGGTGACCAGCTTGCCAAGGACGTCCTCATCAACTGAGAATGTGAGATCAAGCTGTGACACCTGCAAAGTAGACAGAGGTAAAGACTTGCATCTACCATACACTTGTACTGACTAGCTACAGGAACTGCTCGGCCCCCAGGAATCAGCTCATGGGTGACAAGCTTGCCAAGGACGTCCTCATCAACTGAGAATGTGAGATCAAGCTGTGACACCTGCAAAGTAGTCAGAGGTAAAGACTTGCATCTACCATACACTTGTACTGACTAGCTACAGGAACTGCTCTGCCCCCAGGAATCAGCTCATGGGTGAATAGCTTGCCAAGGACGTCCTCATCAACTGAGAATGTGAGATCAAGCTGTGACACCTGCAAAGTAGACAGAGGTAAAGACTTGCATCTACCATACACTTGTACTGACTAGCTACAGGAACTGCTCTGCCCCCAGGAATCAGCTCATGGGTGAATAGCTTGCCAAGGACGTCCTCATCAACTGAGAATGTGAGATCAAGCTGTGACACCTGCAAAGTAGACAGAGGTAAAGACTTGCATCTACCATACACTTGTACTGACTAGCTACAGGAACTGCTCTGCCCCCAGGAATCAGCTCATGGGTGACCAGCTTGCCAAGGACGTCCTCATCAACTGAGAATGTGAGATCAAGCTGTGACACCTGCAAAGTAGACAGAGGTAAAGACTTGCATCTACCATACACTTGTACTGACTAGTGACAGGAACTGCTCGGCCCCCAGGAATCAGCTCATGGGTGACAAGCTTGCCAAGGACGTCCTCATCAACTGAGAATGTGAGATCAAGCTGTGACACCTGCAAAGTAGACAGAGGTAAAGACTTGCATCTACCATACACTTGTACTGACTAGCTACAGGAACTGCTCGGCCCCCAGGAATCAGCTCATGGGTGAATAGCTTGCCAAGGACGTCCTCATCAACTAAGAATGTGAGATCAAGCTGTGACACCTGCAAAGTAGACAGAGGTAAAGACTTGCATCTACCATACACTTGTACTGACTAGTGACAGGAACTGCTCGGCCCCCAGGAATCAGCTCATGGGTGACAAGCTTGCCAAGGACGTCCTCATCAACTGAGAATGTGAGATCAAGCTGTGACACCTGCAAAGTAGACAGAGGTAAAGACTTGCATCTACCATACACTTGTACTGACTAGTGACAGGAACTGCTCGGCCCCCAGGAATCAGCTCATGGGTGACAAGCTTGCCAAGGACGTCTTTATCAACTGAGGATGTGAGATCAAGCTGTGACACCTGCAAAGTAGACAGAGGTAAAGACTTGCATCTACCATACACTTGTACTGACTGGTGACAGGAACTGCTCTGCCCCCAGGAATCAGCTCATGGGTGACAAGCTTGCCAAGGACGTCTTTATCAACTGAGGATGTGAGATCAAGCTATGACACCTGCTAATTGTCAAAGGTAAAGACTTGTATCTACCACACACTTGTTGAATTACTTTATGGAAGAAGATAAAGACAGGGGTTGGTATAGTATAACAAAACAGACAATTTTGTAAAAAATAGTATCGGTATCAAGAATTTAAAATCCATTTTTCATGTATCGGTATCGAGAACCGATCAATTTTATTATCAATACATCAATAAGAATTGTATTTATTGGCACAAAACATACAGGGTTTACAAGATATAAATACAGGTGCTTAGTGATAGCAAAATCGTCCTAAAATCAGGTTTTTTCTCTTAGGTTTAGATTAGCAGAATTTGTTTCATGGCTAGATCCCTGAAGAATGTGTTAAAATTGATGTACAATGGAAACAATTATTGATAGTTTTAATATTACACTGTCTAATACAGTGTTCTATATTACATATTACAGGCATAGGACAAATTATTTGGCACCATGTTAGTTAAGTGAACTTACATGTATATCTATATTTATTGTAAATACATAATTCCTAAAGTAAAATACCTCGACTGGGTCCTGTAGATGCTTGATGTACGTAAGACTCCTGTAGAGGTCTTTATCTAGAGAAGGGAGTTCATCCATACACGAGTACAGAGCTTGCTGTGTCTGCCCAGCCACTTGCGATAAGAAAAACAAAGCAAAGGGAACATCTACGACGATACCCTGTCAACAAATAGAGTAAACAGAATGGAGAATTAATTGATGAAATAACCATCAACATCACAATAAATATATCACCAAGATAAACAGCAACAGGATCTAACAAAACTAGATTGTTTTGTTATTAGGTTTGTCAGATACAAAATCAAATATTTACTTTAAATCATCATCATTTACTTTGATTAAAAGTTTAAAATAAATGTTTTGTTAAAATAATACATAAATCTTTACTACCTAAAAACACAAATTTTTGATATTACTTCTGCATCCTAATAATGGTGCTATAGGCAGATATTGTAGAATGTGTGTGTTCAAACAGGTGAATGTGACCGGTCACATTCTTTAGCTTTACCTCATAGACCGCTTTCCCAAGCATGCGGCCAATGAACTCAAAAAGCTGCAGATGGTTGTCTTGCAGGTGCGAGGTCGGGGAAGGGTAGAGTCGCTCCTCTGTTGTCACCCGAAACAGGTTCAGTGAAGGGTCGAACACTCGTTTGATGGTCTCTTCCAAAAACTCTACAAGGCAACAGACCATCAATGTAAGGACTTTCATAGACTGCAGTAAAATCCTATTAGAAGTGCTTTATTCTGAACGGTTACTTTGTTTTGAGTAGGGATGGACGGGTCCCGAAATTTCGGGAATTTTTCGGGAAAAAAATATCCCCGATTATCGGGACGGGATTACATTAAACTCGGGAATTTTTCGGGACGGGATTTGGTCCGATCGTCGGCGATTTTTCCGCTTCGCGAGTGCCGATAACGCCGTTATTGCGAGCGATAGGTCCGCGAACGCAGGACCCGAAGTCATTTCGACGATTACGCCGTGACCGCGGAGTCATAACGATGATCGCGCCGTGGCCGCGATTATTGGACCGACGATCGCACCGTGACCGCGAGTCATAACGATGATCGGGCTGTGACCGCGGAGTCATACCGACAGTCACGCCGTGACCGCGGAGTGATAACGACGATCGCGCTGTGACCACGAGTCATACAGACTATCACGTTGTGACCGCGAGTCATACCGACGATCGCGCCGTGACCGCGAGTCATACCCACGATTGCGCCGTGACCGCGAGTCATGTCGACGATCGCGCCGTGACCGTGGGGTCATACCGACGATAACCCCGTGACCGCGAGTCATGACGACGATCGTGCCGTGACCGCGGGTCATGACGACGAGCGCCCCGTGACCGCGAGTCATGCTGACGATCGCGCCGTGACCGTGAGTCATATCGACGATCGCGCCGTGACCGTGAGTCATATCGACGATCGCGCCGTGACCGTGAGTCATGACGACAATCGCGCCGTGACCGTGGAGTCATACCGACGATAAGCCCGTGACCGCGGAGTCATACCGACGATCGCGCCGTGACCGCGGAGTCATACCGACGATCGCGCCGTGACCGCGAGTCATGACGACGATCGTGCCGTGACCGTGGAGTCATACCGACGATAACCCCGTGACCGCGGAGTCATACCGAAGATCGCGCCGTGACCGCGAGTCATGACGACGATCGCGCCGTGACCGTGAGTCATACAGACGATCACCCCGTGACCGCGGAGTCATACCGACGATCTCGCCGTGACCGCGAGTCATGACGACGATCGCGCCGTGACCGTGAGTCATATAGACGATCACCCCGTGAACCGCGAGTCACAAGTTTCTATAGGTACCTGTAAATTGTTACCCATTTTTTGGTTTTTATAGATCATTGCCACAAATGGTAAAAATTGATTTCGTATGTCTTTTTTGGTAACTGCAATACAGTACTTTCTTTTTATGCACAGAAAAAAATCCCGTCCCGTCCCGTCCCGAAAATCGGGAAGGAAATAAAAATCCCGTCCCGTCCCGTCCCGAACTAAAAATTCAATCCCGTCCATCCCTAGTTTTGAGGAGGCGACCACTTGCCCCTGAACAGGTATTTTCCTGTAATTCCATAACGGCATATTATATTAAGCATTGTATTTTTGATTCATTAAAGATGATTAGAAGATTACCGAGTGCATAGATTTTCAATCACTCTGACTATTGAAAAAAACCAAAGTAAAGGCTCCTTGACAACATCAAAGAATCAGAGCGATAAGTACTATCACCTTGATGAATACTAACCAATGTTCAATTACAATTACAATTCATAGACTTATTTCTGTAAAACTGTTTTTACACAGTATAAATAGGTTGTAAAAAGCAGATCTTTAATATAAAATAATATTCAATATATCATTTCAAAGCCCTCCAAGTTTTTAGTACAAGTTGATCGAGCAGCAAATTTACTGTCTAAATATTGAGAAATGTATAATATACATACCGATACCATTTTTCAATTGTTTTACAAAATTTTCTGAATGAATTAAACAACATTCATTAAACATTAAGCATTAAACAACATGGGGGTATGGTTTAACTCATTCAGGTTAAAGACATGTGAAAATCTTAGTATAACAGTAATACTACAACAACTCCTGTCTTTAGGTCCTTCCATTAAGTATTTTTGAGGTAATGGGGTGTTTTTCAAGTAGGTAAATAAAAAATGTATCCAGCAATTATACATTCCAGCTAGCCAATTAATTTAAGTTTAAACCCTTTTAATGATATTTTAGAGGTGTGCTAGCCTGACATTTTCAGTCAAGCCAATATACTCGAGGTAATATCTTGATCATCGCCAGCAGTCGTGAAGATATCATCTTCGTCTTCAGGGAGACTGCAAAATACGAAATATCTTCCTCAATTACGGAAACATCATCACAGTCTTTGCGGTCGTGGAAAAATTATGAACATCTACCGCGGCCGTGTAGACATCATAATCAACTACCACGGTCACGGAAACGTCATAGTCGTCTTGCATGATCATGGCAAAAACATTTAACAGCACCCTTGGCCGAGTAGACATCATCATTGACTCCCACGGTCACGGAAACTTCATTGTCGTTGTCTGTGATCGCGGCAATAGCAGTAATTTTTCGATCGCATCGTAACAGCCAAGCATCGGTGGTATCGAGAATCGACACATCCCTACTATCCAGGTACGTTTTGCACATAGAATGTACAATATTTTAAAATCATAAATATCCAAGTTTACCTTCATTGTTTTTAACATGGATTTATCTTAACTGATATTTTTATAGCCTAATTAAAATTAGTATATACCTTTGAAAACACCGTCTTGATCAATCCCTGCCTCGTCTAAGCCTTGTTCATTGATGAACCTCACTCGTATGACACCCTTTAGAGCCTGGGCTGGTAGCAAAGCCAGCTGACGATAACCATCCTCCACGATACGACTCCTGTGAGATTCGTTGAGTTGTAATCACTTACACTAAGAGTAACTTGGATGCAAGATATCTTGTCAATACTAACTACCTTAACAAAGATATTGAGAAAGAAGAAAAGGTTACTTAACTAACTAACCCAAGAAAAGATTTCAAGGCAGTTGACAGCATACAAAAAGTAAAGAATGCGATTAATTTGATATATGGTCTCTACAAGGGGGTTTTTTAGAAGAGAATGTTCATTCTATTCTACTACCTGTAGATACCTTCCTTGAAAACTTATTACGTTGTGAACATTTTCTTTGGTTTTAACTGTTCGGTACAGTACTCTAACATAAGTACTCTAACATAGTTCGGTAAGATAGTTTTTTGTCTATTTCTTCTTCCTTAATGTATTCTTAGACCAAAAGCTCTTTTCTTTAAAAACTAACCAGCGTACCTTAATTATAATAAAGTACTTAATTGAAAAATGTAAATATCTTTTTGAAATTGCAACAATATTTGACTAGTAGTTCATTACAATTTTCAAAAATCAAACAGTTAATTTAGTACAACATCATCATCATACAGTAGAGTCTTGATTATCCTACCTAAACCGGCCACGACAAGGTCGGATATAATGGAAAATGAGAAAAACTACAAATATTGTATTCTTTAATTTGTTCCTATTTTGTTGAAAATCATACAAAATTGGAGTCTAGAATGAATTTAGAAGGAGATTTCTGCTAATTAAATGGTCTGTAATTAATGATAAGCCAATATGGGATATTTCAATATTTTTTTTTCAGTGCCATCAGAGATAACCACATTTGTGTCATCTGCATAAAGACATATTTCTGTGTCTCTGCTCCAAGTGACTCCTGGTAGACCTTTGACGTAACAAAGGTACATTAACAGACCTAAAATTGATGTGTGATATACATGAAAATAACAGATTGTACTAGTCAAACTGGCGTGACAGTTGTACCTGTGAACGGTGATTAGAGTACTACTTTGAGACGAGACACAAGCAGACTCTGTCAACCCCAGCACTGACTTCTCATTAGCTACATACTTGCGGAACAGCTGTACTCGCTCTTCATGGGGGATCACATGAGGCATCTTCTGCAAGAGTAACTGGAGACAGAATTATCACAATGTAGAATATCCATGTGAAAATCTTAATTCTGTCCTCTAATTACCTTTATATTAAGAGATAAATGCTGTGTTGCGAGCCTTTTAACTCAAAAACACTGATCTTTAACCTAACATATAACTGTAAACTTGGTCATCATTAGGATTCAATTATGCATACTCGTATTTAATAACAACTTTATTACTCAAAATTAGGGGTGTAGCATAGAGCACAAGGGCCTAGATTTTTTAGGATTTTTTGAGAGGATAGCAGGCTTACCTGAATGGGAAAGAGTCCAAACTGGCACAGGAAACACAAAAAAACTGTTCAACCTCTATGGTTATTTAATTATTATTTAACCATGTGTTTTTATTTACTTTCTTTAATAATATTGTCTTGTATTCGTGTCTTGATTAAAAACAGTTTAGTTTCTTTTGATCTTTTAATTTTTATCTAAATAAGAAATAGAACATGGCGCAGTCGAATGAAGAACCCGTATCCCTGAACATTAAGCCTCCTGAAGCCTTTTCCTTCAATCCTCACGACTGGAAGACATGGAAGACTCGCTTTGAGAGGTATTATTCCCTTAGCAATTTAGCTCTACATTCTGGTAAGCATCAGATTGACATGCTTATATACTGTATGGGGGAAAAGGGAGAGGATATACTTAACTCATTCAGGTTAAATGACAATGACAAATCTAATTACAAAGTTGTTCTAAAGAAGTTTGACGATCATTTCCTTCCAAAAAAGAACCTAATTTTTGAACGGGCTAGGTTTCTAAAACTTAAACAGGGTTCCATGCCGATTGAGAACTTTATCACAGACCTTCACAATCATGCAAAAAACTGTGATTGGGGTCAGATTGAAGAGGAGATGATTCTGATGGTTTTGATTATTGGTATGCAGGACGAATCACTAAGTGATCGTCTTCAACTTGAACCCGAATTAAAACTTAACACAGCTATTAACACTATCCGTAGATCTGAAGAACTAACAAGACAGAAACAAACACTAAACTTGGCTGACATAGCATTAATAAACAAAAACACTCAACATTTAAGTAAATCAAACATTTCTCCTGATAAATCAAACAATAATCGATACTTAAGCCAATTAATGACAATAAAAGCCTGTCCAATGTCGAAAAGAGATGTTTTGGTGTGGCTCGACAGTTTTACACAAAAGATTCAACTGTCCAGCTAAACAATACAAATGTGGGTTTTGTAAAAAAGTCGGTCATTTCCCAAATGTTTGCAAATCAAACAAAGTCAGTCAAATTGAATATGATGATTCTCCCCTTGAAAACCCCACCGAAAATGTTTGCTCTCAGTACATAGACCCACAAATTGGCTCTGTTGACAAAACCGTATGTGATGATCCTTGGTCTGTAGTGTTAAATATGAACGACAGTGATGATGTTCTTTTCAAAATTGATACAGGAGCAGATGTAACGATTTTGCCTTCCGACATTAAATTGAACAAGAAAATCAAACTGAATCCCACCTCCAAAACATTTAGTGGCGCAAATGGTCAAGCTTTGTCAATTTTGGGAACTGCTACAGTCAAACTATCCCATAATCACAAAACATGTTATGAGACTATATATGTTTCAAAGGGCACTTCCCAACCCCTTCTAGGTAAACCTGCAATAAAAAATTTGCAGTTACTTGCTTGAATCAATGAAATACAGCCATCCTGTAATGACTGGTTTAACAGACACCCTAAATTGTTTGAAGGCTTAGGTTCTATTGATGTCAAATACAAAGTAGAACTGAAAAATAACGCCAATCCATTTGCAATCAACACACCTCGTCAGATTCCTCTTCCTCTTTGGGAATCTACTAAAGAAGAGCTTGAAAGAATGGTGTCAATGGGGGTGATTGCTGAGGTACACCATGCCACAGACTGGTGCTCTCCAATGGTTGTTGTACCAAAGAAGGACTCTAACAAAGTTCGCATCTGTGTGGATCTTACTAAATTAAACAGATGCGTCAAACGAAGATACTATCCTATTCAACCCATCGACATAACACTTGCCCAAATCTCAGAAGCAAAATGCTACTCTAAATTGGAAGCTAATAATGGATTTTGGCAGATCACATTGGACGAAGAATCCCAAGATTTGACAACGTTTCTGACACCGTTTGGACGCTTTAAATTTCTGAAACTACCCTTTGGAATAACATCTGCACGAGAAGTATTCCAGAAATGCGTGAATCGAACCCTTAAAGGTCAAATGAATGCACTTGCGCACATGGACGATATAATTGTTTGGGGGAAAACTCAACAAGAACATGACTATTTCTTAGAAGAAGTACTTACCAAACTTGAACGTGCAGGCTTCACCTTAAACAGAGACAAATTTTTGTTCTCTCAAACCTCCTTAACCTACTTAGGTCACCATCTATCCGAATCAGGAATCAAAGTCGATGAGACGAAAGTCGAAGCTATAAGAAAAATGGCACCTCCAACAGATATTTTGGGTGTACAAAGGTTACTTGGCATGGTTAACTTTATTGGCAAATACATACCTAACAAAAGTAGATTACTAAAACCCATTACCGACCTTCTAAGTAGAAAAAACGAATGGTGTTGGGGGTTTGAACAACAGAAAGCATTCAATGAACTGAAAGAATTATTGAACTCCACCTCAACTAGCATTCTATGACAAGGATAAACCAACTATGATTTCTGCTGACTCTTCTACACAAGGCTTCTACACAAGGCCTGGGTGGAGTACTTTTACAACAACAAACAGATGGAAATTGGAAACCGATTTCTTATATTTCACGTACTCTGAGCGAAACCGAACGAAACTACTCTAACATTGAACGAGAAGCTCTATCTCTAACATGGAGCTGTGACAAGTTTAAAGACTATATTGTGGGCAAGCACATCATGTTGGAAACAGATCACAAACCTTTAGTAAGTATTTTGACTACTAAAGAGGTCAATGATATGACACCCCGTCTTCAAAGGCTCAGACTTCGAATGATGAGATATTCCTACAATGTTACATATACTCCTGGCAAACATTTAGCAACTGCTGATTGTCTCTCAAGAAGCCCTGTAGCAACTAATGAGAGTTATGATTTGGATGAGGAAGTTGAACTGGCCGTCCACACAGTAACGAGAAACATTGCCTATGTAACTGACATGGTTCTTGATAGAATTTCCTCGGCACAGCGGGCTAGTTCAGAACTCAGGTTAATTAAATCTTACTGCTCAACTGAATGGCCTGATAAAACTAAGATTCCCCATAATCTTAAGCCATACTTCACAGTTCGGGATGAAATATCTTTTTGTGACGGACTGTTGCTTAGAGGAGAACGTCTCATAATCCCGGAAACTCTTAGACAAGAAATGTTGACAAGAATACACACAGGTCACCTAGGAATTACTAAATGTCGACTTAGGGCCAGCAATAGTATGTGGTGGCCGGGAATGTCACTTGATATTGAGAAATATGTTAATGATTGTCCAAAATGTACAGAACATAGAACCCAACATCATGAACCCCTTTTACCAAGTGAGCTTCCAACTCGTCCTTGGGAAAAGGCAGCGATTGATCTCTTCAAACTCGAAGGAACGTGGTTCGTAGTAATCACTGACTGTTTTTCCCGTTATTTCGAAATAGCTACATTAAAAAACCTGTCAACTGCTGAAATAATCGAGAAATGCAATCTATTTTTTGCCGTCATGGTATACCAATTGAGCTACGGTCAGATTGTGGCACACAGTTTGCTACTAGATACACTGGTCTTGAAAACACTGAATTCAAAAAGTTCGCTCAATGCTATAACTTTAAACTTGTAACGAGCAGCCCAAGCTACCACCAAAGTAGTCAAAATAGCAAAAAGTGTACTGAAGAAAAACAAAGAAGATCCATATTTAGGTCTCCTGACTTATCGCAATACACCCCTATCCACAAATGGATACAGTCCTGCTCAACTAATATACAATAGATCATTACGAGATAACCTGCCTGTTTTACCTAAACAACTTGAAATCAAACCCGATCTCTCTCAATTAAAGGAAAAAGAAGATACTTACAGAGCATCTTACAAGAGAAACTACGATAGACGCTATGCTACAAGAGAACTTCCATCGCTGCATGTAGGTCAAAAAGTATGGATCCAAGACTTAAAAAGAGAGGGGATTATTATCAGCTTAGGACAAGAACCAAGGTCATACTGGGTTAAGACAGGAAACACTACGTTGAGAAGGAATCGACACCACCTTTTGCCTTACAAAGGTAATACAAGCAAACAGAGCAATCCTATTCCTTTATCCATCAAAGATACAATGCCAGATACTCTGCCATTTACTACTGTTACTCAAACCAACTCGTCCCTATCAAATACTACTGAAAAAGCAACTACTACTCCATCTAGAACACCCCAAGATTACAGTAAATATTTTTTATGATCAACAATTCCCAATCAAGAAGCTGCAATTAAAAAATCATCAAGAGGCAGAATTAATCAAGAGGCAATAAGACCAACCAAACAATTTCCTGAATAAACTTCGAAAAAAAAAAAAAAAACTCAAAGGGAAAGATGTTCAACCTCTATGGTTATTTAATTATTTTTTAACCATATGTATTTATTTACTTTCTTTAATAATATTGTCTTGTATTTGTGTCTTGATTAAAAACAGTTTAGTTTCTTTTGATCTTTTAATTTTTATTTAAATAAGAAATAGAACAAAAACTTGTTTTTGTGTTTCCTGTGCCAGTTTGGACTCTTTCCCATTCAGGTAAGCCTGCTATCCTCTCAAAAAATCTTTACTCAAAATTAGAACGTTTATAATAATTAAATGATTTAATACTTAAAATAAATAAAAAAGGAAAGTATCTTTTATGGTTAAAACTGATTCAAAAGCAATGAAAATGGTTCATTTACAAAAATAAAAAATAAACTATCTAAATGCAAATACAAATGCAAATATATTTTACAAGTAATAGGTGATAATTGTACAGTATTATGCAGATTGCCATCTTTATATGAGATTAGTGATAAGTAGAAAGAACATAGCTAAAATATAATATTAATTTCACAGCATAGTACTTAAAACAAAATGTTGTTCAAAGGTTTATTGCGGACATTTTCCATCACGATTAGAACAAAATAATATAAAGCAATACTGTATATAAAAACCGTTAAAATAAAATTAAATAAAATGCTCATCTTCCTTTACACCTTCAAACTCAAATGAAATGGAAAAATTGTCATCTTCGTTGACTTGTAATAAATCCCCTATAGTATCAAATTTTAGGTCTCTATTTGAGGATATTTAAAATCATAAAAATCAACTAAACTATTACGTACCTCGTCTTGCAGTTCGAATATAGTGTCTGAAGTCCACTACATATGTTTCGCCAAATATGGCATTCTCAAGTAGTTAACAAAAACATTTTATTCAAATTGGACTTGTCAACATGTTACTTCAAATACAAAAATATTTACATTATGACACAAAAAATAAATTAACGAATAAAACATTTAAACGTGTAGGCCTACAACACATAACCTGACCAACGGCACACAGCAGTTACTATATAAATTTGGTCAACCTAGACTTCGACTGAAGATGGACCTTCGGGTCCGAAATTCATATAGGATAGACAATAATAAGATTGCAAAGGTAAGACTTTTCAATATCAATTAATTATAAGCAATCCAATCCAGAGGCTAAAATGACTAATACCATGATTCACACCACTTGTGTTGTTTACAGTTGCTTACAACATTTATTTGTGCCTGTTAAAACATTACAAGTGAGCAGTAGTACCTGGTTGGGTTTCTTGCCCTTGTCGAGGTCTGCCATGAAGGAGCTGGTGCGAAGGTCCTTGATGAGCCAGTGCCCTGCAGGAGCGTAGTTACGTCTACTATCTCGTCTATACAACACCATCAGCAGAGTGTGCAGAGAGTGGAATAGCCCGTTGCTGTTGATGCTCTTGGAATCTAATGAAAAAGTCAAACAATCACCACATCACAAGCCCTTTTAGTCATATGATTCTGTTACATTTAAAAACCAGGACAGAATGATGTCAAACTTAAATGATCAATAAAGTGGTTTAAATACTTGCATAAAAGTTATCCAAAATGTTGCTCACGGCAACCGGTTTCAATCCACAATAAGGATCTTCATCAGACCGATCAGGATGTCAAAACATTTTTTTTTTCTCTTCTTGCAAAGGTCGTCAAATGGCGTAAAACATGCACATATAGTCACAAACACGAAACACGGACATTTAACACTGAAGACACAGCCAAAATTATTGCGACGACTCATCCCCGGCGAAGGTATAGTCGAGACTGTCGGTGGTCAGTAGAATCCAGTCGTCCAATCCTTATCAGCTGTTTCATTGAGGTCTACCCCCTCCATCCACACCCTTCAATACCTTGATTGCAGTGTCATAAATATAATTAGATGAAAATGACAGCTTGTCGTTCAGGATGTTCTGATGATCCGATTTTACAGCTTTATATATTTCAAATTCTTCTAATGTGCTTGTCTAAAATCTGTCTTTTGAAGAGTGTAAAATATGCATGTTTCTGTGTATATCTGAATAATTATGGTTATTTGAAACGAGGTGGTCAGCAAAAGCAGATGTCTGGGTCATGGTTTTCTTGGGCAAATGTTCCTTGAATCTCTTTTTAAAGGAGCGAGAAGTCTGACCGATATAGTACTTTACACAATCAGTGCATGAAAGACGGTAAACACCAGTTTTCTCATATTCTGGAGTTGAAGTCTGGGGTCGCTCTTTCAATAAAGTTCCAAGACTGTTAGTAGTCCTGAACGAAACTGTGATATTATCTTTGGCTAAAAGGTTCTTAAATTTATTGCTTAGAAAATTACCATACCGTATTTAGCTGATAAGAATGTTTTGGGGGCTTTTGTTTCGTTTCCATTCGATTTTTATTCTATGTTTGTAAATCAGATTATCAATAATTGAGCTTCTGTACCCGTTAGAGATGGCTATATATTTTAATATGTTAACTTCATCTTCATAGTTACTCTGTTTCATGGGGACTGTTAATAGCCTGTAGACAAAACTATTGTATGCTGCTAATTTTTGTGTGTGAGGATGGTGTGATTCAGCATGGACCTCAATGAAACAGCTGATAAGGATTGGACGACTGGATTCTACTGACCACCGGCTGTCTAGACTATACCTTCGCCGGGGATGAGTCGTCGCAATAATTTTTGCCGTGTCTTCAGTGTTAAATGTCCGTGTTTCGTGTTTGTGACTATATGAGCATGTTTTTACGCCATTTGACGACCTTCGCAAGAAGAGGAAAAAAAAAATGTTTTGACATCCTGATCGGCCTGATGAAGATCCCTATTGTGGATTGAAACCGGTTGCCGTGAGCAACATTTTGGATAACTTTTATGCAGGTATTTAAACCACTTTATTGAAATATTGGTTATCCGGAGGCTAAATCACGATGAAATTAAATGATCAGTTTGTTTGACATATTTAGATACCACTGCAGGAAAAAGCGTTTGGTAAATGTCAAATTGTTTTGTAAACGTAACACAACTAAAGTTATTAACTGTTTGAAAAGGTAAGTTAATATTAATTACTCACCAAAATGGTTGTTCATGATACCCGTGAAAAGAAAATGATTGAGAAAACTAGACATAGAGATGTAGTCATTGAGAGTGAAGGGTTTCTGTTGTTCATACATCTCAATATCATCCAGAATCCTGCAAACATTAATAAAATATTAACCAACGAGATCAGAACCTGATACATACCAGCATTGACTTTTGAAAACTGAAGTAGACCTATAAGGACCATGCTGTCCTCTTATCTTTATTTTTAATTCAAAACAAACATAGTCATGTAAGCCAGTCACAGATTGACCTTACCTCATAGGCCATTGAAACCTAAGAAGGTTGTAGGCCTCACCAACGATGCTTCTCCACTCTTCTCTATTCTCGGCTGCCTCAGGCATAGTGCCCAACGCTGCTATATCCTTCACCACCTGGCTCTTCCACCACAGTCTCGCCCTGCCGAGCGGCCTCCTGCCTTCTGGTCCACAGCTTTTATTATCGATGAATTCTTTCCCCTCCATACAGATTGTGCTGGAGTCTAAAATTCTTTTTCCACCTCATTTTTTTGTAACTGAGATAGTTGATGTGACATAAAAAATGCTATAGCTATAATAAGTCTTCCTATCAGTTTGACTTGATTAAAAAGTCTGCATATTTGAAAGAAGTAAGTAATTTACATCAACACAATCTGTCGGTAGTGTATTATAATGTTATAGCCTATTCACATATTATCATATGTTAAATGTATCATATGTTAGTTGGAGGTAAACAATATCAGTCATGTTTATGTTTTAGTCTGGAGTTGAATTGTGTTAACTATTTATCCCTCCGAGTGTCCCTTGTTTTGGCCTTAATGTCTGCCTATTTTTTGCTCATTTGCAAGGTTTTATTAAAACGGATCTGAGAAGCTTGAAAACAATGTTAATTATACTGTTCTATATACCATTTTGTTTGGAAAATCATGGGCTTTAATATTATACATAGAACATAAGGAACATTTGTTTCAAAAAAATTGTTTAGGTAAAAAAAATATTTTGAAAGATTTTCAAAAAAAAAAAATAAGTTTGCGCTCAATAAAATTGTATAAATTATAGGCCTATAAATATTTGAAAATAGCCACTTTGTTCTAAATTTTATGAGGATTACAAATATATAATAATATAAGGAAGTAGATTAGCAAATAAATAAGTTATGGGCAAAAAACAGATTTCAGTACATAGCGTTTAGCTAAGAATGCATAGCCTAACCATAGCTAGGAATCTGGCTGATAATTTACATCAATATCACTACCTACTTCTTCAGGATCATCAACCAGCCCTTCAAAATCACTTAAATCTTCTTATAATGCACCACGTATATCACTACTTTTGATTTTTAACACTAAAACAATGATAAACGTAATAAAACACATCAGTCATTGGTCCGAGGTTAACAAAGCTGTTTACAAATACGCTTGTCAGCTGTCTGCTACAATATTTTCGGAACTAAAATCAATAGCGCTTAGAGACAGACCTCCGGAGAAAGCTCTGAATCTGTCAAATAAAACGATACCTAACTCGATCCAGTTCAATCCGATTTCGTCAGTCATAGAGCCTTCGCCGTAAACAGTGTTTGTGAGTCGCTGCAGCGACAAATAACACTCGGAGGGTTAAGAAATAATAATTGTAAAGACTTTAGTAAAACTAATACGTATTGACTTTTAGAAGGTATTTACTCAGAGGAGGTACAGAAGAGGCTACGATGACAGCTGTGGGCTTCTTATTAGCTGAGGGAACGCCTTACCGTAACAAAACGATTGGTGGCTATCGGCTTCTATGGTCTAATGGTTAGCGTGCCGGGCTGATATGCTGAAGGTCTCGGGTTCGAATCCCGCTGGCAGCATTAACTTTTTGTCCAAGATTTTTTTTATTATCAGCAAGTTTGGTTGGTTTGGTTCGGTTATGACAGTTTAATTTTATTATTAACTCATTATAAAATTTTAATTGAGCAATTTCTAGTTTTATTTAATAAACAGAATTATTTTTTCTATTGCTAAACTTTTGTTATATTATTTCATTATCAGCAAGTTTGGTTAGTTCGGTTAGGTTATGATAGTTTAATTTTATAATTAAAAAATAATAAAATTGAATTTGAGGCATTTATTATTTTATTTTATGAACAGAACAAACTATTTTTGCGATTAGTAAACCTTCATTGCCAAAGTGCTCTCTTCTACAGCGCTGTTCACGGAGGAATTTTGAACTAAATGCCTCATTCGTACCTCCCCTAAGTCAGACCCCTTTTAGAATGATTCACAACATAGCAACCACAAACATAAACAATAGTAATGATCAGCTGCTACAAATTCAACTAATATTAAATTCAACATATACAACATCTCCCTTCTTCAGAGGTTCTTCAAGGGCTTTTGAAGATTCGAACGAATCGGCGGTTACGTCTGTATAATCTTCCATCTGCTGCTATAATATATGAACGTAGTCCTTCTTTTGAGACAATTGATCCCTTAGTGCAAATCTCTGATTTGATGTCAGGTCGTTTTTGAATAAGGACATGACTGCCTACTTCTAGAGGCTCCAGATTGCATGTACCTTTGTCATATTGGCCTTCAAGATTTTCATGAATTCTTCTTTGGAACTCCTCAGGGGCAGTAGATATACCAAAGGGTAGTCGTGTCCAGCGAAATCTTCCTTTAGGAGTCCAAAATGTTGTGAGTTTGCTCGCTTCCTCTGTAAGTTAGACGTGCCAAAACCCATCTTTTAGATCAAGAATACTAAAGTATTTTGCTCCTGCTAATTGTGGTATGATCTCTTCAACAGTAGGCGTTTGATAGTGAGATCTCTTGATGGCTTTGTTTAGGTAGAAAGGGTCTATGCAGTCTTATTTTATTAGGTTTCTTGACGACCACAATACTACTAACCCAATCAGTAGGTTATGTGACCTTTTTAATTACTCTAAGAGACTCAAGTCTGCATAGCTCTGTATTTATTTCATATTTCAGAGCAAGGGGGTGATGTCTAGGAGCAGCAACTGAAGGCTGATCATTTGGATCAACTTTTATGTTGTATGAACCTTCAAGACATCCAAGCCCTTCAAAAACATCAGGATATTTACTGAATAAATCATTTGTTTGGAATTGAGTGGTAGCTAAGGCTTGAAACACCTCATCATCGATGGTAATCAAACCCAGTCTCAAACAATCACTTGCCCCTAGTAACAGATTTTTTTCGCTTTCCATTACTTCAAATCTCAAATCGTAGAACCGTTTCTTAAATTTAGCTCTCAAGACAATATTTCCTAATGATTTTTGTGACATTACTCCATAGAATGATAGAGTGACCACACTTTTGTTCAAAACTGGCTTATCAGTATCCAACAGGCTTCATAAATCAGTGATACTTAAAACATTGCATGTAGCTCCTGAGTCTAGTTGACATTTTAAAAACTTTCTATTGACTTGCATTTTGACAAAAAGCTGTTTTTTGTAAGTAGGTCTATCAGTTTCTTTCATATGCATGACATCCTCTTGAGAAGTAGAATGCTGATCTTGGTTTTCTTCGTCCTCAATATGTTTTACTGTCATTTGGCTTTTACACACACTACTAAAATGGTTTCTTTTTTGGCAACTGGAACAGATCTTACCATAAGCCGGACAAGTCCCTCTTTTGTGAAATTTTCCACAGTATCGACAAGATTGACCTTTTTCATTGTATTGATGTTTTGTTATCTTAAAAGAAGTTTCTTTGTTTCCTGGAGATGTCATTTGCTTTACATATGTTTACGTATTTTCATACTGCAAACAAATTTCCATAGCATCATTTAGCTTCAAGCCTTTCTTCAGCAATAGACGTTTCCGTAGTTCATTGTTTTCTAGGCCAATGACAAGACGGTCACATATTAATGTCTCTTCTAACTCATTTTTATTTAAACTTGACAAACCATCAATACCGCAACTTTTAGCTCCTTCTTTCAACCAAGAATCAAGAATCAAGAATCTTTATTGCCTTTGATCCATACATATACAGACATTGGCATAGTCAATAAATTAAATAATAAATACATTACATTCTAACAATACAATACTTACAAATGTTAAATTAACAGTAACGGTACATAGAGGTGGTGAACAATAATAACAATAACAGTCAATAACATGAATTAAATCTTAAAATCAATAGTAACAGGACATAATAAAAAATCTTCTATTTTATAAAAAGGATTGGCAATAAGCCACTCAGATATTTTAATTTTAAATTGTTTCATAGTCACAAATCGGGCAGTGTCAGGCAGTTTATTGAAAAATCTCACGTAGTTAATTTTAAAGCAGTTTCCTGTTTTTGCTAAGCGGTGCTGGGGAAGGTCAAATTTGTTTTTACCTCTTGTGTTGTGGCTATGGAATGTTTTTCTATTATTGAAATCTGTAATATGTAGTTTGGTATAAATGAGAATGTGGTAAATGTAAAGATTAATAACAGTCATTACTTTGAGTTTTATAAAAAGTGGTTTGCAATGTTCAGTGTCAGTTGTTCTAAAAATTGTTCTAATGATATTTTTCTGTGTTGTAAGTATGTCATACACAAAACCTGAATGACCCCAAAGAGTAATGCCATACGAAAGATGGGACTGACAAAAAGCATAGTAAGCCACCCTTAGATATTCAAAACTCACAAAATCCCTAAGCTTCCACATGAGATAAGAAACTCTTGAAATTTTTCTGTTCACATACTCAACATGAGACTTCCAATTCAATTTGTTGTCAATAAAAAATCCCAGCAATTTAACCCTTAGAGTGCCAGGCGAGAAATAAAAGTAACGCTCAAAAAATGCCGATGATTTTTCCCGAAGGTCGCGCTAAAAATGCCGAGCGCGATCTGGCGATTTTTAGGTTAAAATTTCGTAAAAATCGAATTTTCGATATTTCGACCAACGAAAATCGATGTATCGCATCTAGCAACTTTCGACTCAATGTTAATATATGGGTTAAAAGAATCCGAGTATTTATTCGGTTGTTATGACAGCTGTTCGATCATTACGAAACGTCCGGTCAGCCGGACGTTGGCACTTTTGGCTCGTTCTAAAAACGTCCGGTCGGCCGGACGTTGGCACTTTTGGCTCGTCTTAAAAACGTCCGGTTCCCCGGACGTTGGCACTCA